GTGTGTGTGTGTGTGTGTGTGTGTGTGTGTGTGTGTGTGTGTGTGTGTAGCTGTGCGTACTGTTGTTGATGATGCGTTCCAGGGAACATTTGAGCACAGCCACGTTCCTGCTGATGGTGCTGAGCTCTGACAGCTGCTTCAGAGAGTCCAACACTGGAGACAGCATGCATCACATATCTGTTGCTAACAGTCAGCTTTGGGTTAACTAGCAGGAACTAGCAGTAATTGGCAGTAGCCAGCAGTAACCAGCAGTAACTATCAGTAACTAGCAGTAACCAGCAGTAACTATCAGTAACTAGCAGTAACCAGCAGTAACTAGCAGTAACCCACAGTAACTAGCAGTAACTAGCAGTAACCAGAAGGAACTAGCAGTAATTGGCAGTAACCAGCAGGAACTAGCAGTAATTGGCAGTAACCAGCAGTAACTAGCAGTAACTAGCAGTAACCAGCAGTAACTAGCAGTAACTAGCAGTAACCAGCAGTAACTAGCAGTAACCCTCAGTAACTAGCAGTAACCAGCAGTAACTAGCAGTAACCAGCAGTAACTAGCAGTAACCAGCAGTAGCCAGCAGTAACTAGCAGTAACCAGCAGTAAGTAGCAGTAACCAGCAGTAACTAGCAGTAACTAGCAGTAACTAGCAGTAACCAGCAGTAACCAGCAGTAAGTAGCAGTAACCAGCAGTAACCAGCAGTAACTAGCAGTAACCAGCAGTAACCAGCAGTAACTAGCAGTAACTAGCAGTAACCAGCAGTAACTATCAGTAACTATCAATAACTATCATTAACTAGCAGTAACTAGCAGTAACCAGCAGTAACCAGCAGTAACTATCAGTAACTAGCAGTAACCAGCAGTAACTAGGAGTACCTAGCAGTAACCAGCAGTAACTAGCAGTAACCAGCAGTAACTAGCAGTAACCAGCAGTAGCCAGCAGTAACTAGCAGTAACTATCAGTAACTATCAATAACTATCATTAACTAGCAGTAACTAGCAGTAACTAGCAGTAACCAGCAGTAAATAGCAGTAACCAGCAGTAACTAGGAGTAACTAGCAGTAACCAGCAGTAACTAGC